AACAAATATAGATCAAGGAAATGACTTCTGTGCTTAGATTATACCGTATTTTCGCGAAATAACGGGCATGGGCGTTATTTCGAAAATTGTAACCCTTAAAATAACATATATGGCTTCAAAATAACGCCATGTGCGTTCCGAAATAACGCACATTCCATATTAAGATGTAGTAATTATAGTAATATTAAAAAATGCATCGAAGCTAGGCTTGTTACTAAGTAAACCTACTTTGGGCTTTAACAAAGTTGTTTTTAAGTACGCGACAATTCTATCGGTGTTAAAATCATAAAACGGTTCAGTTATCGTCCGCAATCGTTCTCCAAGTTTTAGAACGTTTGTTTATCTTTGTAGTAAACAAAGATAAACAAACGTTCTAAAACTTTGGAGAGCCATTGCGTGCGATTTACTGGCCGTTTTTGATTATTTCACTACCAATAGAATCGTCTCGAACTGAAAACAATTTTTGTTAAAGCCGAAAGTAGGTTTACTTTGCACCAAACCTAGTTATGAAGCATTTTTTTGGTTTTATATAAGAAGGCACTTAAAAATTTTATATTTGTCTCAAAATAACGCCCATGCGTGTACTCGAAATAACGCGTAGATGGGCGTTATTTCGCGAAAATACAGTAACTATAATATTAATTATAAAATTTACCGGGCCAAATATTTCTTCCTGAGCCACACGACTGGATGGCTTGAGACTAGAAACAAAATAGAAATTGCTTACTAGTTATTTGTAAGTTTTTCAAAAATATCATACAACAAAAATAATCTTACTTAGTAATGACTGTGGGTTCTACAAAATATCCATCACGTAACTCTCCCTGCAAATGTTTCCTTCCACCACCACATTCGATCACACCACCTTCTTGTTTTGCCAATTCGATGTATCCAAGTACCTTTTCCATATGACTTTGGCTGACCAATGCACCTACCTCAGTTTTAGGATCATTAGGGTCCCCGACAATCATATTACGAGCCTTGGGAACGAATGCATCAAGAAACTTTTGATAGATCGACGATTGAACGAATATACGAGATCCACATAAACAAATCTTGATATTCAAAGTATTAAAAATATTGATAGTATTACATCACCATATAAGTTACATTATAAATTATAAAAAGTTACGTTATAAATATCATGTTACCTCTCCCTGATTACTGAAAGAAGATTTTATACTAGTCGCAACAGCTTTTTCGAAATCACAATCTTCGAAAATAATATTAGCATTTTTGCCACCTAAGAGATAAACGTGTGAATTGTGTAATATATAGAAATACAAAATGAGTAATGATTAATATAAAATACAAAAACCTACCGAGCTCGAGAGAAACTTTCTTTAAGTACATAGATGCAGTAGAATAAATTTTTAATCCGGATGCTGTTCCTATTGTAGTTCAAAAAATATTATAGAGTGAAGAATTAAAGATCCATACTAAAAAAAGTAATATACGTACCTCCGGTAAAGGAAATCAAGGGAACCTTAGGGTGAGCTACTAGAGCATGGCCAGCATTCGGTCCTAAAATAAACAAACATTAAGGATATTTTCATGTATCATAAATTTGTTTAGGGCAGCGCGTAAAAAACTAACCTGTACCAAACACCATATTAACTACACCATCCGGCAGACCAGCATCTTTTAAAACCGAGCAAAGCACTTTTAAACAAAGCAAAATATATTGAAATAAAGTTTATATTAATACAAACATGGACCAGCTAAAAATGGCATGATTGTAAATTTGATAAAAACTTACTAAAAGCTGTGACACTTGTAAATTCACTGGGCTTACAAACACATGTACAACCAGCTATACGAAAGGAAATATACATGAATAATTTCTTCGTGCTAAAGTTTCAAACAATAAGATGGTTACCTGCAATACATGGAGCAATTTTCCAAGTTAAAAGATAGAGAGGTCTATGTGAAGTGATTGTAAAATACTTTAAAAATTTACGAATTGTACCTTTTTTTTTTTCTTTAATAATAAATGTCGGGGATGATGCTGAAATTTAAGGACTTAATTTGAAAATATAAACCCTATAAAATCCACCTATACTCTTTTATTATAAACACTAACCCTAAATTCTGATCTAACTATAAAAAAAAAAGCTGAACAAAACACCCCAAAAAATTTTAAATTTTCACAATAAAGTAAGTCAAAATTTCAGCATCATCCCCGAGAATAAATGTTAGTTTTATACTTACAGATTCCACTGTTTTAAAAAACAAGTCAAATTTTGGGTTTTTTTGTTGTTTTTAGAATAGCCAAATAAAATCTAAGCTCAATATTTGATCAAGATTACTGACTGCTTACCGGAGAAATCAAACCAGCAACACCAGGAGGAGTTTTTTTAACATAACTGAAGGCTCTGCCATCAACAATAAAGCTGGCCTTCTCCTCCATGTGCAAAATATAACCAGCAAAGTACCGAAAATTATAAACCGATCTGTCTATATCAACCTTTGTCGCGAAAGTAATAGTTTTGCCTTGATCTCGTACTTCTGCTTCAGCGAATTCCTTTAGACGAGATTCAAGAATATCCGCAATTCGATACATGATATTAGCACGGATGGATTTGGTTGTTTTTGACCATTTTGAGAATGCGGCTTGAGCAGCTTCAACTGCAAGGTTTATATCATCTTCTGTGGAATCTGGTATTTTTGCATACACCTTTTTTGGATGTTTTATTAATTGAATATAGAAATTTCTTTAAAAGAAAGTAATAGGCTGAATTATATATTGCTTGGTGCTGAGAAAAAGGACCAAATTCAAAAGTTTGTCGGAAAATTGATTTTTACATTATGAATTCTATAATAAATTATAAAAATTACAAAATTTAAAAGCTTGTACTGCAAAATTTTAAGATAATAGCTAATTTTGGATTAGTTTGAAAAAATTGTCAACTTGGTTCCTTTTCTCAACACGCTATATATATTGCGCATTTACAGACCTTTCCAGTTGAAGGATTATAACTATCTATGAAATTCGCAACTTTTGCGTCTAAAAATTCACCGCCTATGAAGTTTTGCAAAACCAGCATGTCGAATTTAAGAAATTCAGAAAAAAAAACCTCAATCCATGATGCACTTATTGAAAATAAATTTCTTAAATTATCAATCTCAATACGTAGAGTGATGGGCGTTAAAATAATAATATGTACTTAATAGGAGCTGTTTTATGCATATGGTTAAAACTTAAAATAAGCCGCTACTGAATTTAGCTTATCTCCAATCTGTTACGTAGTCGTTTTTTGTTCTATATAAAGTGATTGAGGTTTTTAGATTTTCTGCACCCGTAGCAGTGCGACCACGAATTTTTCGGGTCACATGATAATCAATAAAATATCTTAAAATTCGTTAAAGTTAGGATTAGTGTCATATTTAAGAGTTTGAAAAACTTTCAATTAGAGCATAAAAGGCGAATTCTTATGTCAAAACGAAATGTTTGTTTGATCGTGTTATGTTACATTTAATTACGATTTCCCATTGGATAATTTTGCTGCCGATCATCACGTGGCCTCAAAAATTCGTGATCGAGACGCCGAACTGGGTAGGTAGGAAGTGAACAGTAAAAATTTTTTACTGTTCACTATTAAAAATTTTTTGAAAACAGTAAAATAAAAATAAAGAATTGCTATTTTCACTCCCATTTTTGCTAATTCCACCCCCAAAATTTAAAAAAGTGCTCCGAAAGAGGTTTTTTATTATGCAAACCCTTATTTTGATCTTAATAAAAGTTGTTCATCAGACCTTTCCAAGATATATATATCCGAAGTTAGTTACGTTTTATTTACTTTAAAAAAAAAACTATTGGTCCGATTTTTATTTGCTTTAAAAAAAAAACTATTGGTCCGATTTTAATGATTTTACTACTATTAGAACCGGAAAGGTCTGATGAACAACTTTTATTAAGGCCAAAATAAGGATTTACTTAATAAAAATACCTCTTCTGGGGCACTTTTTGATATCTGGAGATGAAAATAGTAATTCTTTAAAAATAATGTTTTCATAAGTAGTATATAAATAGATTATATAAGATATAATATAGTCATTTTTTCATAAAATTACACTGTCAGATACATAGTAAATTTTTTATATAGTATAATTATATAGGAAGTGACTATATGAGTGTTACTAAAAAAAACTTTTAAAAATTTAAATATAACAAAATTCTAAGAAATATAAATATATAGAGCAAATCTATTTGTTACCGGTGGTGACTAGAGGTTGGAACCGGTTTTAATAATTCGGGTTTATCACATGAATTTTGTGATATTTTAGAATTTAATCCAATTAAAATTTAATAAATCCTAAAATATCACAAAATTCACGTGATAAACCCGAATTATTAAAACCGGTTCCAACCTCTAGTGGTGACAGTATCGGAGTGTGATCAACCAATTAGATTACAGGATCATGTGTAATGTGAAAAATGTAAAAATTTTGATTTTTTTAAAAAATCGTTATTATCTTGAAATTTCATCTATGAAACCACATTTTGCATCTAACAAAAAAATTTCTTGCAAAATTTTACTATATACTATAATCTACCCGAACTATAATTATAATTCTAACCCCAACCCTAATGATAATTAGGAATTGGAACCGTTTAACCGTTTAAAAGTTGTTCTATAATTCCGGGCAGGATTATGTTGGTCGTGGGCCGGAATTATCTTAATGCCAGCCAAATTAAACGGTTAAACGGCTAAACAATTAAACGATTAAGAAAAATTTTAGGCGGTTCCAATCCCTAATGATAATAAGTTTGACACATTGTTTTTGTTTTGATTATAATGTATTTGTTGTGATTATAATGTATTTGTTGATCACACTTTGGTACTGTTACCGCTAGTGAAAAACAAATTATTTCAAATATATAAATTAGATTTGTTCTTTTATATATAATTTTTTTTTAAACTTGGTTAGAAAAGCTTTTATTAAATTTACTCATAAGTATATACATATTTTTTGTATTATATTATAACCTATTACTAGACTGTTAACTCAACTAATATTTTGATATTTATCTAGCTGTTCTAATAAATGTTCAAATATATTTTAATTGTATTACTAGCAGTAATATACATTTTGACTGTCTAAAGGCTTTTTTGACACTATCCAATGTCCAAGTATCCAAGTATTCACAAGTATCCAAAGCTTGTCCAAACATTAATAATTAATAAATTTGCTTAAAAAATATATAATTATATATTTTTTTAGATACAGAACATATTTTACTTAAGAAATAATATAGGTTATCTTAATAAAATTTGAGTAATTTTAATTTATTTAATTGTCTAAAATTGTTCAAAGTATCCAAACTTACTGTCTATAACTGTCCTGTGACAATACTATTACTAGTACACTATAGCCAAAATCAATACTAGCAGTCAGAGTAATATCTTACTCTAAAAAATATTGTTATTAAACTACCTGTTGATAAAGAAGATCAGACCTGTATTTAATGCTACTTCTGCATTTTGAAACTATTGTTACAGTACTGTGGCCTTCTTAACAGCAGTACTATAACAATGACACGGCTACAGGGATCCTTCACAGGTTTA